GCTGGGCAGAACGGTCCAATCCAAGCCCTCCGGGCCTTGCTCTAGGGCACTGTAGTGTGTGTGCGTGTGGAAGTATATGTGTTTGCTTTGTAGGCGTGGTCTCTCAACTAAATAGAAGGGCGAGTATTTCTTTGGTTTTGAGCACGCGGAAGTTTGTCCTGCTTGCCCAGCTCGGGTGCACAGTGGTCGTATTTTGCTAGACGGTGTGGGGGGGTTAGTTACAAGAGGTCTTGTATTTCTAGTGGCTTTAGTGGCGAAGGTCAACCGCTTTTGTGGGTGTTTGCTTGCTGCTGCCTACATATGTAGTTGTTGGATTTGCTTCGATACCGATGTCAAGCGTTTTTTTTATTGATGATGATGATGCATGGATGCAGCGAGCAGCCCTGTCTGTCTGTCTGACTGTCTGTCGCATTTTACTCTCGTCTTAGCATAGGAGGGAGGTTTCCACCCCAGGATCACAACACAAGATGCACGAAGGCGGCACCCGTTGCCCACCCGCAGCAGCGAGTGGTGGATGGAACCTGATAATGAGTGCTCGCGTGCCACTTCCGTGTGTGATGTGAGGATATTTTCTAACACGAGTATTTAATGTTTTGTTGGCAACCTCTCTCACCCAACAACCCTTTGCTGCCGGGCTGGCTGTGTCGTCTGTCTTTCGTCTCCAGTGCTCAGTCCCGATGGTGGTTGGTGGTGGTGGTGATGCCAAAGATCGTGTAGTTTAGTTTTGTATCCTTGCACACGGGCAGTTTTTTTTTTTTGGGGGGGGGGGGTTGCTTTTGCGCGCGATGACCGTTGGTTGTGTTTATTGTGTTTATTTTTTTTTCTTCGTCAGTGTGAATGAATTCCGAAGCAAGTCTTTTCGAGACATGATGGTGGGTGGTGGTTATGATGATGATGAGGCAAGACCTCCAAAAAACGGTTTAGAGACACTCTGCCCGTCCGTGCATGATCGTGCATTCATGCGCAGGGCATACCGACCGACCTACCCCCCCCCCCCTCGCCCCCGATAAAGGGGAGCGCAAGGAAATCATCATGCATACATGTGGTATGTCTGCCTCCCTGCCTGCCTTTGAGGGAGGGTGGATACGATCGGTAGCCTTAGCAGGGTTTTTCGAATAATGAGTACAATGTTGGATAAGGCATACAATCGG